CGGAAAGTTGACCCGCTTTACCTACTTTTTGGTTCTTGAACCATAGTGCCAAGATGAGGGAAAGAACTTACTTTTGGGTACTTTTTCTTACCGTATACGTTGGATTGGAGTTGCAAAACACATAGCGTTCGATCAAACTGACTACCTGAGAGATGTGATGTCAAATCAGCCTACTGATCATTCTGTGTGTGTGTGTGTGTGTGTGTGTGTGTGTGTGTGTGTGTGTGTGTGTGTGTGTGTGTGTGTGTGTGTGTGTGTGTGTGTGTGTGTGTGTGTGTGTGTGTGTGTGTGTGTGTGTGTGTGTCTGTGTGTGTGTGTGTGTGTCTGTGTGTGTGTGTGTGTGTGTGTGTGTGTGTGTGTGTGTGTGTGTGTGTGTGTGTGTGTGTGTGTGTGTGTGTGTGTGTGTGTGTGTGTGTGTGTGTGTGTGTGTGTGTGTGTGTGTGTGTGTGTGTGTGTGTGTGTGTGTGTGTGTGTGTGTGTGTGTGTGTGTGTGTGTGTGTGTGTGTGTGTGTGTGTGTGTGTGTGTGTGTGTGTGTGTGTGTGTGTGTGTGTGTGTGTGTGTGTGTGTGTGTGTGTGTGTGTGTGTGTGTGTGTGTGTGTGTGTGTGTGTGTGTGTGTGTGTGTGTGTGTGTGTGTGTGTGTGCAATCTAACCCCTACTGTCCGGCAGTGTTATTATGGAAGAAAACTGCTTTTTATTACTCTTAAAGGTGTATTCAGATCTAAGCGTACATTAGCGGAGCGGAGCAAAATTTGCGTTGGAATGAGAGAGACAACTAGTACTTTTCTCCCTCTCGTACCTTCGCAAAATCTCTCTCCGTGCGTGAAATATCGCTAAGATCTGAATACACCTTAAATTAAAGCAGGTTTAGTCCGGGAGTTAGAAGGTGTTAGCTCTATTGCAGCTCCAGTGACCCATTTCAGAATGCCTGGTAATTCACGACCACTCCGAGGTCACTTTTACTTACAATAAGCCCCGCATGTTCACTCTACCTTTATCAAATGGATAATGGTATCTTAAACACACTTCCAGATTCAAAAATATTATTTCCAAAACTGGCACGTATATAGTTTTGAAATATGTTCAACTGTATTAAATCGATTTGAATGGACATTTCTTACCAATTTTGTTTCGAATACCTCTTGATTCATCTGCTGGCAGCACTTACTGGCCCTTACCGGCGACCAACCCTTACTCAAATGCTTCAACTTCCCGGATGGCGGCCCGCTTGATTCACTCCATCTTGATGACCTTCTGTTTGCCTATCAGCCTCTTCCACTTTTCGTCCTTCAGATACAAATCCGGAATAAGATCTTTTTTTTTACACCATCAATTTTAGAGTTTTTTTAATCGTTCAAATTGATAAAAACCATAAAAATACAGAGAATTTTTTTAGCAAAATCAAAACACGTCATTTCAATCGCGCGGCCTACTTCGATCAAAATCAGCCTACTGATCATTCTTGTATGAAATTGGTTCCAAACGTAAACACATCCTGTAGGTTTCTTATGGGTAGTTTACGTTTGGAACCAGTGATGCGAGGTAGGCGACGATTGTTCGTATTTGACAGCCACCTCCCCCTTTGCTGACTACCCGGAAGACAAAAAATAGGTTTTGAACATTTTTCAAGATTACTAAGGCTGTGTTCCAACGGGGAATCTTCACTTAAATTTGACAGATGTAAAAATTTCAAATAAACCTGTTATTCCAGCAGACTTATTTCTGACCGATCAGGAATCAATCTTGACAAAATACCTTCTCAAAAATCGGACGATCAACAACAAAGGGATTTTCGAACACTATAATTTATTTTCGAAGTGTAAAATTTAAGTGAAAATTCACCAAAGGGAACACAACCTTAAAATCTGTGATTCTCGGTAGGAAAAGTGAAAAATCGGTAGTTTTGAACCTTTCATCTGTGAATCGGTAGGCATCCCAAAAATCGGTAGGTCTGGCCACCCTGCTTGATTATTGCAAATTCTTCTAGGTTGTACTGTAGATACAATAGATTCCATAGATAAGCGGAGGTAAAGTAACAAAACTGTCAGTTTGTGTAGCCAAGGTAGCCAAACGAGCATCATGTCATCATGATGTTTTTATGCGGGAGAAGTTTTACAATATTATGAGCACACCACACTCCACATTCCGATTTTTCGCGTAAAACGGAAGTAGGGAATATAACGCAAACCACTTCTCGATTTATAGGGGAAATGGATGTAATGTCGGCCTAAATGCCCCTAATTTGGACCCATACATAAATTCAACAATCGACTGAATTTTCAATAGCAACCAAAACTATCCATTAGTCCCGCCCTAATGACGTGTTCACACCCCCCCCCCCCCCCCAACTGGTATAAATTGTTCCATTAAATAATAAATTAATTTACCTGCTATACAATGCTGACTTTTTTCATTAAAAAATAATCCTTTCGGCACACCGTTATCGATTGTATCTTTTTAGGTTAGATTTATTTTATCTATCAATAGCAAGTGTTGGCCTTTGTTCAAGGCAATCGTTATTTTGTTAAAGATCATCGCAATTCAAGGAAAACTTCCGGTGAAACTCGAGTACCTACTTCCGTCCTTTTAAAACCACACAACACGATTTATAAGCACTTTACTATGCTACCTCGAACGCGAAACACGAACTGACATCCAAAATGGCTGATTGTTAGCACAAATGTTTATGATAGCCTACACTCATAAAATAAATCACATAGCCAGTGGAAAATATCCATGTGAATTTCATATAACTTTCATGTGATCCCATTATTGGAAATTGCACCACTAAATCACATGAACGTTATGTGTCCAATGAAATCTATATGATTTCTCATATAGAATTTCTAATGCTATGTGATATTCAGGTAAAAATCATTGTTTTTGTTTTTGGAAAAATACTATGTGCGTTCCTAATAGGAACTAAGTGAAAACTTTTTTCAGTGTATAACAAACAATTACGCAAAGTTTTAAGTTCGAGTTTGATCGATTCATCATTTGGCGTGGAACTGCTCTAAATCATTGTTTTATTAAGACATTTGTGAGCTGCTATTCAGTTGGCATTCGCAGTTAGGGGTGATTCCTATATTATGTCACACACTAAAGGGGGAGGAGGGGTGTAAGATTTTGTGACAAGCAATGCATTAGGTATAGGAAAAACGTGTCGAAAGGGGAGGTGGTGGGAGGGGGTTAATTATTCCTCAATTTAGCGTGACATAATTAAAGTATGGTCCCTTAGGTACCTATTAGCCAAGCTCACACAGTCTCGGGTAGTCGGTTTTCTGGTCACGCAAAGCTCATCGTCGCAAAATTTTGCTATGGGTTTGTTGCCATTACATTGAAGTGCCATGTGATGATGGTGGCGGTAGATGACTATTAATCAATCAGCGGTCGTCGCCGCCTTCATTGCTCCCTGTGTTTTGTGGGAGTCACTTAAGTTTCTCTCTCTCTGTTTGTTGAAACCCACAGCATGGAACGAATGCCATACGAAAAATGACTTTCACGCCATCTAACGAGGAGTCCAAACATAGTTTGTCATGAGATATCAATTTGTTTTAGCTCAGCCAACCGAATAAGCACGTGGTTGTCAAATAAATGATATAATGACGATAACGGAAAGTGAATTCGAATCCATTATTATGGCTTATGTTAAGATTAAATAGATAAAGGCTCCTTAACGTGGGTAGATCGCCTCTTTGTGGTGCGCTACGGTTTAAAATCCTAACCCTGGACTACTTCAAACTAAGGGAACAGTTTTTATTTTCAGTAATCAATGGAACACATCTTAGCTCTTGTTACGTTTCACGCTTTATTGAAAGATATGTGAAATTCACATGGATATTTTCCACTGGTTATGTGATTTATTTTATGAGTGTACAATTCCCGGAAATACACATTGTATTACAGACAACTACTTCTACCAGGCTACTTCGACCACTTCTACCATACAAATGTCCAAAATCCCCTTCCCAGCTCGATGGTCCTTTCAATATCGAGTTTGGGAGAGTTGACTGTACAATGTTCTGGAAAAAATGAATGTTAGTACTTTTACTCGCATCCCTCGGTTCAAATTTAATCAAGAAGTAAACTTCCGCGTCAAAAGAGAAGTTTATAGAGTCATTTAAGGCAGAAGATCCGCATAGGAGGTTCCTCATATAATTTTTATCAGGAAACACCTTCCAGTAACCAAATCCAAACTAAACACTTTCCATTTGGACGGAGTCGGTGACACTCACTCCACAAATCCCTTTTCCGCTTTTTCTTTTATTGCAATCCACCGGCCGCTGGATAAGTAGGTACCTATAGTTGGCCTACTTAACTATTCCACGTTCTATACACTTTGAAAAATAAAAAGGAAAAGAAGCAAAATCACATACCGCTGTCAGGCTTATCCGTGCACCGCATAGGTACCCGCAGGAGCATCCTTTCGCATAAATTCGCATCCATCGCATCGTACCGTTGCCGTTGTTGCTACTGTGATGGAATAAATAGGTCAGTAAATAGCACCTCCTTCTTGTAGCGTACGGGGTGGGTGGCCGTTTTGCGATTTTCCACTTTGCACCACCTTTTCTGGGTGGGGACGTTGTTATTGTTGATGAACTTAACCCAGGGGTGGGTTTCTGTTCGGTATCGCCGCTTCTTCATCTTTTCAAAAAGGCAATCTCGTGTGTGTTTGCCTTCGGGTCTTCGTTTCCGTCAGGTATTTAATGGCTTCATGAGGGACATTTTACCATGCTCTTCCACGAACGATCGGGTGTAAAGTGTTTGACTATGTAGGGCGTGAAATTGAGAAGAGACCATAAAGGTAGCTTTGCGATTCCCGGATGGTTTTCGAGGAATACGTGAGGCGTGTAATGACAAACGATTACTTCCATGGAAATGTCCATTCCAGTATGACGGATTTGACATTTAGAAGGGCTCTTTCGCTTCGCGTGATAAATGTGAATTGTAACATACCATTATGACTAAAGCAGTTTGTTTATTCTTTTCTTTTCTTTGCAGAAATATGTGTCAAAATACCACGGTCAGAAACTGGGTCTGCTGGAACCCCATGTGTTCGCTCTTGCCGAAGCGGCATACAGAAACATTCGCGATAACGAAACAAATCAGGTGAGTGAGTATTAGACTGATGCAAGCTTTGAAATTTTCGCTCCACAGTGCTCAAACGGTTTCAAATCAAGTCCTGATTAGCCTCCCAAAATTTAAACTCATTTGGTAAGAAACTGACTTGGCACAAACTATTCGAAGTTTATATGGAAATTACTATGGGAAAACCTAACTTTTTGTTGATTGTCTTCTACCCATTTTCCATATTGCTTTTTCGAAAATTCATATAACTATTCTTACGGGAAATTTTCCAAGCTACAACTTTGCGCAATATCGTTTTTCAGTCAAATGTCTAATTAAATTGATATTAATTGTTTAAGAGATTGATAGTCTTATGGCATGATCAAGAAGCTGTTCTGTGGCAACACTGTATTCTGCAGTGTGACATAGTAGCCATGATATTTGTGCTCTATTCTTCGCACCAGAAACACCAATGTTGCCTGCTGAACAGTTGAATGAGCATAATCATAAGACATCAGTGACTTGCATCATTAATAACTTTTGTTCCTTATATTTGATTGAAAAGTGAGTTTCAAAAAAGTTTGCTACAATCACTGCTATCTTTTTTAAAAGCATAGTGATGTGGTGAATTGTTAGATAGATATGAACAAAAACATAAGTTTTTCCATAGTAATTCCCATATAAACTTGAAATGGTTTGTGCCAAGTCAGTTTCATACTAAAGTAGTTCAAATTTTGGGAGGCTAAGCAGGACCCAATTTGGAACCGTTTAAGCACTGTGGAGCGAAAATTTCAAATTTTGCATCAGTCTAGAGACTCTAGTAGAGAGTATGCATCTTTTGGGAAATAGTTATGATTAGCACTGGTCTCGTTGACTAAAGGTTGAACACGAAAAAAAAAGTTGGAAGGGTTGTATACTAGATACGACCGCAGGGTTGGCGTTGGATAACGTCTGTTATGCGTGGTACTTAATTGTGTATAGGGGAATTTACGTATTCTCGGCAACCTAAGCAGTGACCTTCTTTCTATAGCCTTTTTCTCTAAGGAACGCACACATATGCAGTATTGGTTTGTTTACAATCTTTTGCTGCCAGCTGCTCTAACAATTTCAGTCGAAAGAATTGTCAAAAACAGTTTTGAAACGCTTTTACAAAGCTCCAATCTTCTCTAGTGAGAGCGAGTATTGTCGGCAACCAGTTTTTATTCGGCAACCGTTCCATTTGAACTGCATGTAAATCTGCTGTTCTATTATCGGCAACTCGAAATCAACTACAATTTGTAGTGCGTGTATTGCATTTCAAGGAAACCTTGCTAGATTGCTTTTTCTCAGTGGTAAAAATATAGTCAAATTGAAGCTGAAAGCATAAAGAATCGTTTGCATGCATTCAGCGAAGTGTTTTCTTAAGAAAATCCAGTGAAAATAGTGTTTCAATTTGTGTTGCCGAAAATAGTCTGTCATGCCGAAGCCGTCATTTTCCCTATTATATTTTAGGAATATTCCTTAATAACTCTTTTGCGAAAGTTTGGTGGCCCTGAAAAGGGCCAATTTTGTTGGGCTGATGTTGTTGACAATGATGGAACGGGCGACCTTGTTGGACGCTTATATAGTAGAACAGAAAATATCAGAGGGGTCAGATACTCGCATACGTACGTTAAACTCTTTCTTGATAATGTGTTTTTCCAACGCGCTCGGCGTAGTTGCCCTTGCGGAGCAGACGGTGAATACGACCGACTGAGAACTGCAGCAGCTGGGCATTCCATGACGGCGGCCCAGTATACCGGAGCACTGGCACCAACGCACTCGGCCTAGTTGCCCTTTCGCCCCCAGGCTCTGCGGCCGCTGCTCTGCTGCCGTTGCTCTGCTTCCGCTGCTCTGGTACTGCTGCTTTGCTGCTCTGCTGCTGGGTCGACGATCGGATAGACAATGATGGAACGGGCGACCTTGTTGGATGCTTATATAGTGGAACAGAAAATATCAGAGGTGTCAGATACTCGCATCTGATGTCTCGGTCGGAGAAAGTATAAGAATACAAAAAAAAATAAATCGATTTTCACCATCTTTAGACAATGGTTTACTTTTAACCATTTTTCAATAGTTTACAGAATGAAATCAATAGTTTTGAAACATTCAGTAAATTGCTAGAAATATTTCAAATCGATTGATGCCATTATCTCTCAATCTACCGAGAGACGGTTGAGTTATTATCGTTCAAAATCTTTTAATTTTTCGTAACGCATCCAAAATTACTGTTTTCAATTTTGTACCCCCAAGGTTGCCGAAAGACGTTATCCAACGTCAAAATCCGTACACATATAAAACACTGCCATAAAAGCATTTTTTTTTGTATTTTCAAATTACGCTGGATCAAGCCAAGAGTGCATAGAATCCCAGTAGGCATTGGTTGTCAGGATAAGTTCATTTGTTTACATCATGGCTTCACCGGAGCAAGCACGTCGCGATTCGATCCTGCACGCTCGAAACGAAAATCCCGGTCTATCCGCTACTGGCAGTTTTCCATCAAATCAACCCCGAAAGAATGGAACTGCAAGCAATCTGCAGTTGTGGGCTGAAAAGCGAAATTTTCGTTACTTCTGGGACCATGAACCAGCAAATTTAGCAGGAGGAGTGCCTATGGAAGATACAACCCAAGTTACCAAAAGTTCTGATAAAAGCAAGGGGTAGGTCATTCCGCACACCAATCTTGGGTCATCTTTTTTGTCAGTGCGCCGCAAGTGTGCCGATTGTGCCGGTCATAGAGCAAGCAGCGATTGTTTGTAAAATACCCTTCCCGGCAACCCGGTATTTCTGACACCTTGAATGTTTTGGCTTGAAATCGCAAGGATAAATCTGATTGAGGATCACACGGGAAGTGGTGGGTGTGCAAAATTTTGGTGTTTTGTGTTCATATGGTAATACAAGTCATGTGTTTTAGTGTTCTATAGTGCCCTCAAAGGCAGACCAAAAACCTAGCCTTTCGTGATGTGAAAAGCATCGGTCTATCAACGGTCGGATACAGTTGGAACCGCTGGGGAGCATTGTTGGAGACTGACTATAGAGGATGATGAATAGACTTCTTTAGTTTGTTTTGTGTGAGTTGTAGGATCATTTGAATTAAGGGTACTGATGGGGTCTGATTAACTGCGTCTTTCTCTTGAGCCTACTCTAGAACCTTCATTTCGTATTTAAATCGAAACGTGAACTGCTGGTCTGAGCAGTGCTGTAAATTCTCAAAATCATTTGAACATTTTTGATGAAAATGAGAAAAGTAGCTATTCGCTATCAAAGGGGACCTCCTCCGAATGGGTGATATCAGTTGCTTAGTCATTTGACGAAGGCATGGATCATTCTCATTTGAGAAACGCTATATATCATTCGATTGAGTGTAACCTACACACAAACGGAGCTCTGGTCGGCATTCCGGCGAAAAAGCTAAGCCAACCCGACACCAACCTGACTTCTATCAAACCCCAACCCGATGTTGACCCGACATTGACCCGACATAAACCCAAAATTGACCCGACATTAACACAACATTGGGTCGACATCGACCTTAAATTAGCCTTACATTGATCCGACATCGGGTCGACTTGTCTGTTCGGGACCATTTTCCTGGATTTCTTCCATACTCCACTGTCGTATATCAAATGATGCTGAGTGACTCAATTGACAGTGACAATGAGCTTCGAATGAGAAAGGGGCTCTTCAAATTATGGTCATGTGAGAATTCGTTTACACAGAATTGATTGAATGGTTGTAGTGGTTCATCTTCAATCGAATGATATGAAAATTTACAGCACTGGGTCTGAGTTCCTCTAGTGTATTCAATTAGAGTATGGTCCTCAATATACTCTCAAACAGCACGTAATGTCACACAAACCAAACTACAGAAGTCTATTCATCATCCTCTATAGTCGGTCTCCTACAATGTTCCCCACCGGTTCCATCTCTTTTCGGCCGCTGATAGACCGTTGCTTTTCACAGCACGATAGTATAGGTTTCTGGTCTGCCTTTGAGGGCATTATAAAACCCTAAAACACAGGATTTTCATCATAAAAACACCAACATTTCGCACACCCACCACTTTCCGCGTCATCCTCAATCCGATTTATCCGTGCGATTTCAAACCAAACCATTCAAGGTGTCAGAAATACCGGGTTGCTGAGATGGGTATTTTACAAACAATCGCAGCTTGCTCTATGACCGGCAATATCGGCACACCTGCGGCACACTGACAAAAAAGTTGACCCAAGATTGGTGTGCGGAGTTACCTACCCCTTGGTCTACTGTATTGTGTTGAAAGGGTTTTTCGATCCACGCACAAGAAAAGTTTCTACACGCCATTTTTCGTAGTGGCGTCCCGGCATTAATATTCGATCGAAACTGTTGCCAAAACTTCAAACGCATTAATCTCGAAACATGATTTTTCAAAACTGCGTGCAATCTTATTTGAAAACGGTTCAATTTAACGACTTCTACCTTTGATCATTCGAAAGAAAACCTTTTTCATTTGCGGAAATACTTTGTATTCATAATTTTTTCTGAAGCCTTAAAAAGGAAAAAAAGGGGTGAAAAATCGACCAAAAAGTTTTAGATCGCACCATTTCGTCAAATTTGAAGTTTTTTTTTTTTTTTTTTAGTTTTATTATAGAGACTTTTAACCTTTAGCTGGTTCGTCTCTTAAATTTGAAGTTATTTACCCGTTCTTAGATCATTCCTCCAATAAAATTAGTTTACTTTAAAGCTTCATTAGTCGTGTTGTGCTTCAGATCGATCCTGAGATACTAGGCTGTACGCAGTTTGACAATGCCAGACGTACACTACCTTACTCAAAACGTGACCACAGGCTCCATTTTGTTTTTTTCCTTGTAAACATTTTGAAATATAGACAAAGTTCTAAGCTTTTTAATTTTCAAAACTGCGTCCTTATATGTTTTTTTCATTGGCCCACAAAAAATGCCAAACTTTGCTTACTTTTTGGTCATTCGAATGGGAACCTGAAGAATTGGTTAATAGTATTAGTAATCCAAAAAACAATGTATATG